ACTCCTAAACACACATTTCTGGAAAATATCCATTTATTTATAAATAAAACTTCAAAAACTTCTTCCACCTATTTGCACTGCGACAGCCAATGGGATCACTTCTCGATCCAAACTTTCAGCCAATCAGAGTCCAGCATCTGCCTGCCAATCAAACGAGAGTTTGACCACGCCCACTTCCTCTGCACTTATGTTGATGATAGAGTGTAAGGGGTATAAATAATCGGGTGATATAAATTATATATCAATGTTTTAATGTGTGTGATGTTGATGACGATGACGATGGGGATGATGATGATTATTATTATTATTATTGTTGTTGTTAATATTATTATTATATAAACGATGCTTAATATAACATCAGAGAGATATTGATTATTCAATGTAGAACATTTACAAATACTAACGGATAGAAACACACACACACAAAATAAACAAACATACTTAAATATATACATATATATTCTATATACATATATAGAGAGAGATAAAGAGAGAGAGAAGAGAAAGAGAGAGAGAGAGAGACAATAATTATAACAGATAGGGAATGAATGGATTGATAAGACGATGGAGTTTAGCAATCAATTAAGTAGATCAATTGAGCGTTCCCATCTCCACAACGAAGTTACCCCCATCATCCTCATCGTCGTCGTCATCATCATCGTCAGTAGCAGTCGTGTGTGGAAGCAGATGACGTCATAAATTATGTTGGTGGTTGTAATTGTAGTCGTAGCTGTGCTGGTTGTTGTGATTGTAGTTGTGGCTGTGGCTGTGGTTGTGGCTGTGGCTGTGGTTGTGGCTGTGGCTGTGGTTGTGGCTGTGGCTGTGTCTGTGGTGTGGTGTGGTGGTGATGACAAATATAAAAACATTATGACGGTTTTCTTTCTAAATTGATCACTCTTATGCTTTTTTCTCTCTATCTCTCTCTCTCTTTCTCTCCTCTCTCTCTCTCTCTCTCTCTTTCTCTCTCTCTCTCTCTCTGCACCCAAACTTTTCAGCCAGCCAAACCTGCAACGATGTAGTATGGCGAAACACTCCAGCATATGATGATGCATGTCTATTTGAAAGCTCTTGATACTAGCTTTGTAGTACTCCCCACTAATTTAATACTATTGCTTCTTCACTACTAATTTAGCTATTATTACTACTAATAATAATTCGAAGAATTTTACTATTACTACTACTTTTGATAATTTATATACAATTACAAATACAGCTATTACTTCAATAAGAAATTAAACATACACTATCTGACACACACACACACACACTTTCAATTAAACACATGCACACGTACACACGTTTACACACACACACACACATACACATTGGCAGACAAACATAAAAACAGACACACAGACCTAGACACACAGACACATACAGACGAAACGTACAACGTGCAAGAGATACTATGAGACATACATAGCAACAAGAAGTCGCACGGAAAAAAAACAACAGATAAAAAAATGTTGAACCAATGTATCAAGCAAAATGTTTTTGCATGAAGATGTATTAGTGAACGATTGATCGGAAAGTGTTCTGAATAAACAATACCCTTGTTTAAGGGGCGTCAGGGTGTCTGTGTTTTTGTATGTTTATAGTCGTTGTTTGTATCATATTTTGTTTGCATGCATGTATGTTCGTTCGTACGTGTATAATACGTACAGTTGTTTGTTTGTTTGTATGTTCGTGCTTGTATGTATTCGTATGTCTGTCTGTCTGTCTGTCTGTCTGTCTGTCTGTCTGTCTGTCTGTCTGTCTGTCTGTCTGTCTCTCTGTCTGTCTGTCCGTTCATATTGTTCAGTCACAAACAAAAATGTAATATATATTGACAAAATTGACATAAAAATGCAATTGTTCAAAAAAATTCTAAAAACAAATCTTTGTATGCAAACTCAAACATACATAACTTATACAAAAATTGAAACGACAGACAGTACAGTACACCATACCGCAATACCATATATGCATTTATACAAACATACATAAAAACATTCATACATACAAACATATATACATAAACATTCATACGAACGTACATAGATGCATGCATACAAACACAGATACGTGTAACATCGTGCCATTTTCAAGTGCATCTATACTGTTGACACGCGTCTTCTTTGTTTTCTATGGTATTATGGTATAAAGTTTTATTTGGGTATTTTGTATGTACGAATTTTGTATGTGTTTGTATGTGTTTCCATTTATGTTTGTATTTGTATGTTTAAGTGACCCGTACAGAAGCAAGCATTGAACGTAATCAGTAAACTAAAAATCTTTTGTTATATGCAGAACTTTCCATCTGTTCCACAAGTTGCACTTCTGCCATTTTTGCACTAATTTGGCCTGAAAAATAAGTTTCCAAACAGTTGCCACTAAGTCGAACCATGTGAGTATGTATGAGTATTTATCTCGTATTTTTATTTTTTTAAGAGTTATCATCAAGTCTACAAACAAACAAACACACAAACAAACACACACACACACGTTCTGATTTAAACTTACAAAAACACATACTTCATTGAACATATGTTCACCATGACACCACACTCATACATACAGACACCCATAGAAAACACGTAAAACACGACCAACACACATATCACAGACACACACTCACACACACACAACACACGTGTTTGCTCAGGTTCAGCAACATTTAGATGCCAACAGCCGCGGGCTATAAAATTAGATAAAGAAAAATATTAATAAAATAAATAGTATTTTAGATATTTGAAGAATAAAATTAATTTAAAATTTTAATTTAAACTTGACTTAAAAAAAAGCCAATTCATAACTTTACCAAATGCTGAAGTTAAACTTAATATGAATGTATTTTATTTTATATATTAACAGAAGACAATTTTCCAAAAGGCTTAATTGATGTTTGCAAGTTTGTTGACTAAGCAAAATTTTGTAAGATATTATTTCTATTAGTTATTTATAATTTGATAATTTCATCTTGCCCAATAAATTCCACCGTACATCCATCCATCTTTACAAAAATTTTCATAACTCCAACTGTTACCAACATTTTTGTATGCTCGCCTAACCAATTCACATTATCCTAAATCTAATCATCATAGTTTCAATCATCATTATCACCGTTTCAATCATCATTATTACAATTTCAATCATCATTATCTATATTTTAATCATCATTATAACTTTTTCGATCATCATATACAGCCACATCTCAATTTAAACCACCATCATCCATCCTGAAACCATCACCTAGAAAGTTTTATCTCAAAAACTTTTTGATTTTAAGCCAAAGATGGGAAAATGTTTTCTTCAGAGGGCCACATTTGAACAAGAGTAGCTTGTTTTTGCCGGGCCTCATGTTATACGTCCAGATACGATACGATATTCGTAATCCAATTAAAACATACACACGTACATCCACACACACAAATGCAAAAGCACAAAAATTTATACTCGCACACACACGCGCGCGCGCGCACAAGCAGACACATTCACACACAGATACATAAACATACAAACGCATTTAAACACAAACCTAATCGTAGATCAATCGTCAAAGTTTGATTGATTTGAACACGTTTTAAATCCCCAAGATCAAGCCCGATGCGCATATGCTTGTGTATTTGTTAACACGCACGCATATACACACGCACACACGTACATTCATACATGAATGTAAATTCATACAAATAAAATAAATATATAATTTTAATATTCATGAGCATATTCGTTAATGAAGATTCACAAATATATTATGTATGTATATATATATAAATATTTATGTATATATATATATATGTGTGTGTGTGTGTGTGCATGTGTGTGTATGTATGTGTGTGCGTGCGTGCGTGTTCAGTTTCGCTGCTGTCTGGCGTTAAATTTTTAACCCGTAAATTAAATCATAAGGTAAACATCGCTATTAAAAAGCCATCCATTAGTTTGGAGTAAACTTGTTAGCACGTGACACCTCTCCAACCAATCATCCACCAACAAAGGGTGAATGTATAAGTTACTCTTCTTCAAAAACTTAAGCACCCTCAGATTAATGTCTGTCTGTCTCTCGCTGAAAAATTTATGAATGGAACCGGACAAGTAGAAGGCAGAGTTATTTATAGTTAATTTTAATTACACACACACACGCACGCACTTTCAATTCGTACATAATCACTTTTCAATCATAAGCACTGCCTCAGCTTGTTTCCGCGCGGACCGCCAAAATCGATAAGTTTGTGGAGACGTTTGTTTTCGAACCTGGTTCCTCTTCAAAGCTTTCGGATACAACTACTGAGACAAAGCTGTACAAGATGGGAGGTTTTAACTTTTCAAGAACCTACTCCCTAATTGCTGTAAAATACAAACAAACTACCACCCAGACACTCAACTCGTTTCGACGTCATATAATTGACAAACGCTCTCCTAAACATGATAAATATTACTGATTTAAACTTCAAAAGACTCACTACACTCTCTTAAGAAAGACACGACACGCAAATTTTCTCATTCATCATATCGGGGAATTTTAATTTAATTTATTTAGTATTAGTTCATAGGATGAAAATTTGTTTTTTAAACATTTTTTTTTTTAAATTGAGAAAACCGTAAAATAATTTAAAATGACAATCACAGAGTGAAACAACGTTGAAATGATTATTGTATCGAGAAAATTTAAAAATGTTCGTTGAAGTCATAATCTTCTGATGTTGTTAATTTGCTCACCAATGAATCGGCCAGTTTGTCTGAAGGAATGCATGAGTGAGAAAGTTAGTTAGTAAATAAATGAATGATCGAGTTGGTGATTAAATAAATAAATGAATGAATGAATGAATGAATGAATGAATGAATAACTAATTCAAAAAGATAGGTAGAAAACTACAATCATAACATCACAAAGAAATGTACAAGTACATTTTCAACATTATTAGTACCTTGACCAAACAGTCAACAAACCAATAAACAAACCAACCAACCAGTCAACAAAACAATTAACCAGTCAGTCAACCAACTAACAAACCAATCAACCAACCAATCAATCAGCCAACTAACCAACCAACCAACCAACCAACCAGCCAACTAACCAACCAACCAGCCAACAAACCAACCAACTAACCAACCAACTAACCAACCAATCAATTAGCCAACTAACCAACCAACCAACCAACCAACCAACCAGCCAACAAACCAACCAACAAACACTGACCGGTTTTCTTTTTAAGCTTCCTGGCACTTTTGAAGGCCTTCTTCTTCTCTTTGTTGAAGTTGCGATTGCCATGCAGTTGCACCTCCAGTTTCGACAGACCCGTGACATCATCCCTCCTAACTTTGCTCTTGCCTCTTGTTTTCTATAGGAAGGATGAATTGATGAATTAATGATGGAATGAATGAAATATTGAATAATTAGCTGATTGATCGAAATAACGAATGATTGAATGGGGATCAATAGACGAATGAAATATAATGAATGAATGGTTGATAAGTGAATGGTTGGAAGAAAAATGAATGAATAAAAAATAATAAATCAGAAAGGATGAATTAATGAATGAATAAATGAATTAGCGAATTTAAAAATCAAAGAAATCATATAAATTATTATAACCCATAAAAAAATTAGAAAAAAGAAATTAAGCATTCATTATGTACAACAAAAGAAACATAAATCAAACCTGAAAAAAACAAAAAAAATACGAACTTTTTGTCGACTCTCCTTTTCAATCTCTTCCTCTTCCTCATCATCTTCCATTTCCTCATCCACATCCACCTCACCATCTCCCATATCATCAGCACCGCTATCATCGTCATCGTCGTTATTATTTTTATTTGAAGCAGCTGAAGCAGCAGCAGTAGCAGCAGCAGACGACAAAATGTCGCCATCACTGAGTTGGGATGTTGTGGGTAGGACGGTGTCGAACTCGTCTGCTGGATTCTGAAGATCTAATTGGTCGGTTGGTTGTTTGGTTGAATAAATGAGTGAATGATTGAGAGAATGTGCATGGGTGAATGAATGAATGAATGAATGAATGAATGAATGAATGAATGAATGAATTGGAGACCGTACATGCTTGGATGGATGAGTGAATGAATGCAGTGATTGTAAGAATGAATTTATTATTGAATGAATGGTTAGACGAGTGAAAGATTGAGACAATAAATGAATGAAAAATTATGCTAACAGAAGAAAGAATTAACACCACAATTAATAGAGATAATAACTATTGCAATAATAATAATAATAATAATAACAAACCCAATAACAAGAAGAAGGAAACTGACCTTGCATAATGCTATCTTCATGGCTCTTCAGTAAATCATCAATGTTAAATTCCCTACTCATCTCAGAAACTATCTCCAGACTTATGTGATTGGATGGATTGTACTGCTCTGGTGGCTCAGTGTAGTAACGTATCTTGCCTCTGATTGGTTGGATGGTGGGTGGGCAGTCAGTCAGTCAACCAATCAATCAATCAATCAATCAATCAATCAATCAATCAATCAATCAACCAATCAATCAATCAGGAAAATCCATTTATTAGTCAATCAATCAGTCAAAATCAATCAACTAATTGAATAGCATACCCATTCCAATCTTTAATGATAATCTTGGCAGCTTTTGTAGTATCTAGCAAGCCTGTTAATACAGTTTATTAATCAATTAACCGCTCAATCAACTGACTAACCAATCAACAAATCAATCCATCAACCAATCGACAAGCCAACTAATCAACCAATCAATCAACTAATCAATCAACCAACCAACAAATCAATGCATCAGCCAACCAATCAATCAGCTAACCTCCTTTCTTAAGCAGTCCATATCGTTTGGCGACAAGCTGAAGAAACTCATTGATGTCTTTGAAGTCAGGGAGTGTGTAGAGCAACATCAGCTGCTGCTTGTTGCATCTGTTTAGGATTGCAGACACGGTCGGGATGGGATCGGCCAAAGACTCTAACTGTGTCAAGATCAATTTTAATTTTAAATCAACTATAATCAATCAATTATACTCTGATCAGCCGAAATTATGTCAACAATGACGCGAAAAATGTTGACTATCTAGACATGCACTGTCACCATCATTCATTAATTCATTCATTTAATCTATCCATCAATCATTCATTCAATTTATCATTCATACCATCAATCAAAGTAATTCAAATATTTATTCAACCAACCACGCAACCCTTCATGACCCAATTACATGACTGACCCCGTGACCCAATTACATAACTGACGATATCCCGTGACCTACCTTGACACAGTTTCTGAGAACGAGGTCCTCTGGTCTGCTGGCATTGGTTGCCATGACGACGCCAGGACTGTCCAGTAACTTTATGTACTTGTCCAGTTGCACTGCCTGAGACGATCTGGCGACGGAGAAGATGATGATAGCGAAGATGATGATAGCGAAGATGATGATAGCGAAGATGATGATAGCGAAGATGATGATAGCGAAGATGATGATAGCGAAGATGATGATAGCGAAGATGATGATAGCGAAGATGATGATAGCGAAGGTGATGATAGCGAAGATGATGATAACGAAGATGATGATAGCGAAGATGATGATAGCGAAGATGATGATAGCGAAGATGATGATAGCGAAGATGATGATAGCGAAGGTGATGATAGCGAAGATGATGATAACGAAGATGATGATAGCGAAGATGATGATAGCGAAGATGATGATAACGAAGTGATGATGGCCTCTAAAATGAAGATGATAAGAAGGGGGGATGATGATGATTAAGATAATGATGACAGCTAAAATGAAAGAGATGAGATGAAACTGGTGATAGCAGTCGTGGTGGTATGGCTAGGTGAGATGGTGGTAAACGTAAACCCAAGCAATACATCCAGTTACCAAATCTGCCATCATCATCATCTTCATCACCATCCCCACGATCATGCACTCATCATCATCATCATCATCACCAGCATCAGCACCACCATCATCAGCATTACCACACCATGCCATCGCAAATGAATGACCTCGTGACCCCGGGAGTTGACCCCACATTGCAGGCTTTGGTCCTTTTGAGGCTGTTGATGATGGAGGACTTTCCGGTGTTTGGGAAACCTTGGTAACGTGTGACATCATCTTATCATATCATTGTCAGCATTGAAACCATGCATAACTTCATCACATATATTTCAAGTTATCACTATCACATCATCATCATCTAAAGGATATCCTCAACATTAACACACACGCAAAGACACACCAACAGACACACACACAAAGACACACAGAGGGACAAATGGACACACACACACACACACACAGACAAACCGACCGACAATCCCAATTGTGATCGACGTCTTAATATTCTTATTCCTGCAGTAAGTGTTTAGCATGGCGATCAAAAGGTCGGAGCCCAAGCACTGCGATGACCTTCGCACGTCATCCTTTACCAACTGAATTGGGGTGTGGATACGACCCTGCAATGGTGATGATAATGATGATGAGAGATGATGATGATGATAGTGAGAGGTAGCAACGATGACATCAGAACATTCAGACACATACCTATGTACGTTTCTACAACTCTTCACATACGCATACACAAATAGAAATATGGACAGTTACACAGAAACACGTATACACACAGACACACACACACACACACACACACACACATTTTACAAACATGTACTCAAACAAACACAACCCTGCAAATATATACATAAAGAATGGACGTATAAACACACACTAACACCTGAATAAATAAACAACCACACACACACACACACACACACAAACACACACCAGTTTATGCGATTGGTTCTGTGTACATGCTTTGAAAGGAATAGTTGGAAATTCATTCCTTAGGTACTTCAACCACTTTTCAACATTTTCTTGTGGCACGAGGTCTGCTCATTTTGTTGTTGTTGGTGTTGTTAATAATGTCATTGTTATTGTAGTGAATGAACTAAGTTGTGGTCATCATCTTATATGCATGAACCAGACCAAACAACCAGTTGATCAGTCAACAAACCAACCAACCAACTGACTAACCAACCAACCAACCAACTGACTAACCAACCAATCAAACAACTGACCAACCAACCAGCCAACCAACTGACCAATCTTATTAAGCAAGAGAACCAATCGTTTGTTGGAGCCACAGGCTAGGACGGCCTCCTCCAACTGGCGACACCTACTTCCAAGCGGGTCTCTACTGTCCAACACCTCTATAACGACGTCACTGCTGTCAATCACCTTCACATTTACATATTTACATGTTCATGATATTGTATAGTGTTGTTGTTCATACATATTCATGACATCATACAGTGTTGTTGTATCCGTAACGTTAATAGTACCCACTATAACATCAATAAACAGTACCCATAACATCAACTGCACCAAAGTTAAAAACCTCCTCTTACTTACATATTTAACTTCTTTGTAGAAAGATTTCAAAGATGACTCCACATTCTTGCCACTTATCTTGGAGGCATTTTCTGACATGAATTCATTCTAAAAGTTGGAAAAAAAATGAATCAGATAATTTTAGCATCATATAAAATATATCAATAAATACAATTATTGGCAGTTATAATTAAATAATTATTGGCAGTTATAATTAAATAATTATTGGCAGTTATAATTAAATAATTATTGGCAGTTATAATTAAATAATTATTGGCAGTTATAATTAAATAATTATTGGTAGTACCTGACATTGGTGAATGAGTTATTATAGACAATTACATTAAAATAAAATAAAATAATTAAAATCATAAATAAATGGATATTTAATAAATAAACGGTTAGATGAAACAATTTAATATGACAAATAATTAGAAATAGATTGGTAATGAAACATTTGACTGAAATTTTAAAAGAATTAAAAAATTTTAATACTTTCTTCTCATAGATGGCAGTTTTTTTCTCAACATCACCGATCAGCGATTCAATGTTCCTATGTTTCATCACCGTCTTTTCTCTCTCCTTCTTTCTCTGCTCTTTCCTCTTCAATCGTTCCTCTTCTTTCTGTCAGGAAAATGTTTAATAAGAGTTAATTTAATCAATGATCAACATCTCTGTCATCATCATCATCATAACAATGATCATTATCACCATCACCACAACCCACCAAATCCCGTCTTTTCTGCGCCTCCCTCAAAATTTCTTCCTTAAATGGACAACTGTTGGGCACTCCAGGATCCTTTTTTTCTGAAAAATACAAAAATTAAACTATCTATGTAAAAAATTGGAGTGACTTATGAATAAATTAAACTGATTATCATTATATATATATATATATATATAGAGAGAGAGAGAGAGAGAGAAAGAGAGTTTATTTGTGAAAAAGTGAAGAAAAAACTAAATAGAAGAAAACTTTTATACTTGAACTTGTTGGTCCTTTTTTGAGTTTGGCATCCTTCAGTTTTTTCAACTTTTTATTGTGCTGCCTGACCTTATTTAAAAAAAAAATAAAACAAGCAAGTTGAAATTATATACAATTATTTAAAATTTAAATAATTCGTGCACGTTTTTAGTTAAAAATTAAAATTTCACAAAATAATATCGCTCGTTTTACCTTTTTTTCTATTTTGTAACGTTTGCCGCAAGCCACACGCTTGCTCTTTTTGTTGCCTGCATGAAGAAAAATTCATAAATAAATGAAATAAATTTTGAAAATGTGAAAATTATTGAAAAATATTACAAAAAACCTATTTTCGATCTCGGCATGGTTTCAGATTAAAATTTGTAAACAAGCAAAGAAAATAAAATTACGATCTATTTACCAAGACACTTTCGTTACGCAATAGCGAACCATATACATACAGGAAGAGAATTTGAAGCATTCTATATAGATATATATGAAAAAACACAACAGATTAGCAGTTTGTTAATAATTTAATTTAAAAAATATTTAAAATGCATTTAAAAATTAAATTTTAAAGACGGGAAATCAATCAAAATGACCAAATTGTGTGAAAAACAGTGCTAAAAGGCCCGGGTTAGTTTCGTCTGTTTTGTGCGTCTGACGTTCATCACGTTCACGAAGCAAGATCTTATTTCACGTGTGGTTTAATTTTATTTTTAAATATAATAATAAATTAAAAAAATAATAGTTTTCAAATTATAACGAGCAAAACCGTTAAAAAAGACGTCGTCTGCCTGTCGGTCATTTCACTCCTGTTCACTTCTGTTCACTCCTGTTCATTCTGCTCTGTAGTTTTAGGTGTTTTACCAAATTTATCATTTATATTTTATTTTTATATAATTACATTTATAATATTTATTTATATAAATTATTATTTATACAAAACTTAAATCAAACCATATCAATATGAATTTGTTATAATTTAAAAATAATACCATTATTCAATTATTGATTAAATTAATTTAGTGAGTTTTAATAATACTATAATCATAATCTATCTATCTATGTTATAATTCATTTATTTATTAAGATGTGGATTAATTTTTTTAATTTATTTAAGATTTAACACATGGATTCAAAGAAGGAGCTGGCCTCTGTTGCATCATTTCTGTCTTCAGTTAGAAAATGTGCATTTGATCCTAAGCAACTATCCATCACAGGTCCAGAGCAGGTAATGATTTTATAATTTATTGTATTTGTAATATATTATAATATAATGTAATGTAGTAATTAGATTGTAATGATTAGATTGTAATGATTGCATTGTAATTCAGTACCCAGGCCTAAAGACAAAGAATGGCGATTCCATATATGGTCTTATGTCTTCAATTAAATATTTAACAAGACAGCATATGGAAACTAATTATTTGTTAGGTTGGTCTTTTAATTTAATTTTACTAATTTATTTTTAATTCAAGTTAATTCAGTTTGATTTTTTTATTAAACTGTACACTATTTGGAAGATTTTTTTCAATATTTTAAAATTTATTCTGGACACTTTTATTAAACTTTTTATGAGGACAGCATTTTATTATTTATTAATTCATATTTATTCTTGGTAATTATATTTATTAAAATGTAAAATTATTATAATTTTAAGGTGATGATGTGACGGAACAAACACTTGTCAACCAATGGCTTGAGTATAGACTGACCAAACTTAACATATATACATACAACGATAAAGAAATACCATTTATTTTTAATGTGTGTGTGTGAGTGTGTGTGTGTGTTGTGTATGTGTGTGTGTGTGTGTGGTGTTTGTTTTCGCGTGCGTGTGTGTCTTTGTGTGTGATTGCATTCATTTTATATAATTGGTTTTTTTGGATAATTAAAAAATTATCTTAGGTTGATATCACTCTTAGTGTTTGTGATGGCAATTTGATTATTACCTTATTAAATGAATAAATGTTATTAAATTAACACATATTTATCTATAATGTAAATTAAGTTAAATTAATTTAACTGAATGCAAAAATTTAAATTTTAATTAAATGAGTGATTTAAAAATATTTTGATTATAAAGGACTTGAATGATTGGCTAATAGACAAGGTCTTCTTCATAGGGCACAAGCTCTCATTGGCTGATGTGGTCATGTATTATGGATTATATCCATTTATGGTCTGTGATTGGACGATTGATTTTTTGATTAATTAGTTGATTGGTTGGCTATTTTTTGATTAATTAGTTGATTGGTTGGCTATTTTTTTCAGGCTGGGTGATTAGTTGGTTATGATTGAAGGGCTAATTGGTTGATATAGATTTATCAAGATAGATTAGTTTTTTAATGTTAATTATTTGTAACTTTCGTGCTAGTTGTGATTGGTTGTGATTGTAGTTGATTGGTTGATTAAGGTTGATTGGTAGTGATTGGTTGATTGTGGATGATTGGTTGTGATTGGTTGATTAAGGTTGATTGTGGTTGTGATTGATTGATTGTGGTTGATTGGTTGTGATTCGTGAGTTAAATATTTTTAATTGGACAGAGGGATCTGACAGTCCAGGATAAAGAGTTGCATACAAACTTGTCCAGATGGTTCAAACACGTTCGTTCTCTTTCGACCTAATTACCATTAATTTCTTGGATGTTTCTACCAAGTTTTTCCGATTAATTTGTGCTACTCTCGCTCTATTTTTTTTCAAAGTTTAGTCAATTTGTCGGTCTTTTGCTGTTTATTTTACTCGAATTATTATCAAAACTGATGTAACAAGAATAGATTTCTAAACGTTTTTATTCAGGTTTTTCAATTTTGATGTTTACCTATGCATGTTTTTCTCAATAACGATTTGGTTTTATATTATTTTTTTTTATTTAAATATAAATTTTAATTATATCCTAAAATGCAAATTTTATTTTCATTTTTGAAGATTCAAAGTTTCGACGACATCAGGCAAAGCTTGAATAAGATCATTTTCCCGCGTGTGCAGTTGTACTGATCACTACTCCCAACTAGATATATTCTCATCAACATCCTATCATTTTCAGTCGTTCCCACATCCGCATTTTTTCCTGGGTTTTTATTAGGAAGGAATAATCTTCTTAATTTTATTAATTTTATCATTATTCGTTTGTTTCGGCTGTGTTTTTTTTTCAAAAGATATTTCCAAACAATGTTGAATGATGAAAGATCGGGCCTACAATGATGACGTTACCTCGTTGCAGATGCGTGAATTGTTTCAATGGTCGGACTGGTTAAAACAGTCTGAGGCAGCGTTAGTTTTACCGTTTTCTGTTAAGCATTTTTGCGCCGGTTGAGTTTTAATGCCAATGTCATCGATGAATGGCCGTCAAAATCAGTAATTGCAAGGCTCGACCAAAAAGTAAATGGACAGGACATCATTTAGTGAAGCTTAGTTTTATGAGTTGGTTGATTGATCGTTAAACCTCGTTTCAACACTTTTATCGGCTACCATTCCGTCACTGAAATTACTTGTCATTCGCATCTCGCTTTTAATGATGTTTTTGTTGTCGGATTATAGAGCGTAGGCCATAACGATAACTATTCGTGTCTAAAAATGACAAATATTCCTGTCTCGAAACTGAGTTTTACTGACTTAAAATAACAAAACTGCTCACTCACAACGAGTCAATGGTCGAACTGCTTAAAACAGTGTAAGGCAGCGTAAGTTTTACCGCTTTCTATTAAGCATCGTCATTGTAATTTGTAAGCCCCCGGTCCCCTTATATTCGCCACTGAATGATTTATTTTGCTAAAATTGCTGACTGATTGTTCTGTTTCAATTGTTTACGACAAATTATTAAGACATTTTTATCAGCATTATACACGAAGTCAAGCTTTGTTTCGAATCGACATGCATGTTTAATGGAATCGATATTCTATCGAAGACATATTTTAAGGCATTTTCAGATGTATTCTGAATGTTTTTACATTTTCAATCAATCAATTAGCTTATAAAGCGCGATTTCCGCGATGTTCAACAGCGCTCCTCAATGAATTTTGAAAACAGATGGGTCTTGACATCCGCTCTGAACTTCGCAAGCGATGGAGAAGTAGTCAGAGAAGTAGGTAGAGAGTTCCATAGAAAAGGACCAGAAAAAACAAAAGCAGATTTGGCAAAAGAGTGTTTAACACGAGTTAAGAAAAAGCGAGAAGAAGAAGACGATCGTAAACCGGGGCGTTTAGGTTCAATTAATATATCTGATAAGTACTTAGGAAATAATTTAGATTGAGACTTATACATGAACGTGCAAATTTTAAAAATTATTCTATATTTTATAGGTAGCCAGTGCAAGAGAACAAGATATGGAGATATATGAGAAAAGAAAGGGGCACGAGCAACTAGACGAGCAGCAGAGTTAAAAGCTTTACTTAAAGGATAGAGTATAGAATCAGGAAGACCATAGTAGAGCGAGTTACAATAATCAATCCTAGATAAGACTAACGAAGTAACAAGAAGGAGAAGAGTAGGATCATCAAGAAAAGGCAAAAGTTTTTTTATTCTACGTAGATGAAAGTAAGAGCTTCTAGCAACACTATTAATCTGAGAAGAGAGAGACATAGTAGAATCAAAGATAAAACCTAGACTACGAAACTCATGAGAGACATCAAGAGTTTTAGAATCAGGTAAGATAATAGGAGGAATATTAATAGAGTGTTTAGATTTATTAAAACAAATTAATTCAAACTTAGAAGGATTAAGTTTAAGACACATAGAGTCACACCAAGCAATAATTGAAGAAAGACATAGAGATAAATTATGAAGAACACTATTGGGATTAGATGGAGGAAAAGAAGTATAAATGTAAGAATCATCAGCATATAGTTGACTAGAGAAAGAAAAGTTATTAATAATACGAGGTAGTTCAGAAATATAGAGTATAAATAGAAGAGGGCCAAGGATAGAACCCTGAAAGTAAGAGTAGAGGAGTTAGAAGTAGAATTATTGAGAACAACAGAAGAAAAATGATTACAGAGATAAGAAGAAAACCAAGATAGACAAGAATCAGTAATATTAAAAGAATGATGCAGCAGTCTCAAGAGAATAGTATTGTCAACAGTATCAAAAGCCGAGGAAAAGTCAAGAGCAAGAAGAAGAGTAGGATTATTATTGTCACTAGAGAGAAGGATATCATTGTGTATTTTAAATGAGATAGTAAATTGATATAAAAGTTTACAAAGCATGCACGTGTATTGGATTGAAAAGTGAGGGGAATGAAATTTGTGAAAGTGGTCCACGCATATTTTTGTCATTGATTGAATAACAAGCAAAAGCTATGGAAATTGACCAAAAAACTTTGCGACGTTTTGGGATAATCTTACTTCCATGCATGTTCATCCATGCCGTTGCACACGGAACTATAAACACTGGAATGATGTTTGAGAGAGCTTACAGTTACATTCTCGTTGCTAACCAGAAAACTACAGTTTCGGCGGTACACTGCGTCACGATATGCCAAGTAAATAATTACTCGTTATTTATCTATAAAATTTTTAATTTCACTGTTTTTAATTGACAACATTAAATAGAGTTAGAAAAAATTGAAATCCAAAATTTGAATAAATTAAATTTCAATTTGGAAAATTGAAATCCAAAATATGTATAAATTAAATATTCAATTAAATATAATCAAAAAATTACACAAATTATAAAAATTACTTCGCAAATAAAATCAGTAACAGAACAGAGTAGCAACAAAAAGTGACATTTATTATTTGTTGCCAACAAAGTGTAATTTTTGTAACAACAGCAACAACATTTTATGTTTTGCAACAACCACATTTTAGATTGCCGCTACCACCACCAACTACAACAACATCAGCAGCAGCGACCACAAGCTGCTAGGCATCAACTACATGCTATCAACCAAATCATGTTCATGTGTTCCACAGCTGACCGACGCCCGTTACAACATGCGGAATGATATCACTGAACGGTGCTTGGTTTTTTTTACTCACGGTATTTTGGAAATTATTTTATATATTTTACTTTATAAATTTTATTTGAAAAAAATGAGATTAAAGAATAGTAAGTTTACCTGACAATGACAACTGTGGTAATAGTGAAATAAAAGTTTTTTGTAGTTGTTGTTGTTGCAGCAGTAGCACAACTGCATCAACAGTTGGGGTAGGAGCTATCATAGAGTAGATGTATAGCTTGCGTTTCAATTCAACAGCAGTTGAGGCAACAAGACTAGTAGTAAAAGTGGTAGCGACAGCGGTGCTAATGACAGTAATTAGTATGGAAATAATGTGGTTAAAAAGTGGTCATTTGCAGTTGGTATGAAAGGGGAACGGATGACTGTTTATGATCAAGTTTTACAACGAAGCATAAACTGCTGTATATTTATAAGTATATTTGATGTAATGTACGCTAAACCAAAACTATAAATAATTATAGTTGATAGTTAAGCTTGCAGTGAAGATGTTTACGAGATATTTATGTAATAAATAAATTTGTTTCTGACTGTTCTTAATAAAAGTCAAATCTATAAAAAAAGTTAATAAAAAATATCAATAGAAAATAATAAAAAGTTTAAAGAATCAATAAATTAACAAACAAATGATAAAGAATCTTATAAAAAAAACAAAGAACTAACAAAAAAATAAAATCAGCAATGGATTTCCACATTAAAGTTTCATTGTATGTTTAAACAACAAACAAGTATCTAATGTGTTTGTATGTGATTTCCAAATTAAAGTTTTTAATTAATAATTAGTAATTTAATCAATGACGGGGGATTCCGTGTAATTAAATTTTTATATTTGTAGTGCTGTTTTTGTTGGTGTTAGTTATTTTGTTTTATTTTATTCGTTTTATTTTAGTAGTTTCTTTAATTTATTTTTATATCAAACACTTTTTTATTTTTTTTATTTTTAAATTAATTAACAATTAATTATTTTATTTATATATATATTTGTTATTAAACTTTACTAATTAAAAATACAATACATTAAATATAAAAAATTGTTGAGTTGTTAAATTGAAATTAGTATTAATTAATTTTCATTCATTTTTAAATTATAAAATAACAATAGAAAAGAAAAAGACCAACTTTAATTTTTAAATTAGTGAAAAATAACTGAATCATGATTGCTAAGTAGTAGTCAATCAATAGTACTAACTAGCCACTATTACTAAGATTAGCTTGTTTTTAAAAATCAAACATTTTTACAATTACATTAAGATTAATTAAGTTAAGTTAAGATTAATAATTAATTTTTCCATTTATTACATCATTCAATTAATTACATTAATCTAATTACATTGGATTAGCTTATCTTATTAAACAAGTCTTATTCAATAGGAAGTTAATTTTCAACTTGTTACAAATCTAATTAATGATTAATTAATTTGTAATTGGTTGGAGTGATGATAATCATTTCTACGTATGTCACATAATTAAATGCAGTTTGTTCAAAGAATAGATAATATTATTTTAAAATGCAACAATAATGTTTAGTATTAATAAAGCAATAATAGTATGTAAAAATATTAATAATAAGATAATTATATTATAACTAATAATGATAATAATAATGATGCTCTGTAATTAGAAGTTAGTGGCTAAGAAGCAACAACAACTTGTTATGATAACATTAATGACAAATGTGATAACAACATCAACTTCTACATCAATCAATACTTAATATGGATAATTAATAATAATAATATAAAATAATATTAAGAATAATATTAATAATTATATTATAGCTATTATATTTATGGTAATAAATTAATTAGTTGATAATACTGATACTCAATCAACAATTGTTTAGCTATTTAAACACAAGCATCATTCTCTTATTTGTTACCATTATCAACACTTGCATTTCTCACACCATCACTATATAATCTATCTATACCATATCATCACCATCATCTTCCATCACTCTCTTTCTCCCTCCCTCCCTCTCTCTCTCCTTCCTGTCTCTATCTCTCTCTCTCTGCCATTGACAACTTGCCATCTTTTAATCATCATCACTATCTACATTTCACCATCATCGTCGTCGTCATCATGGGCTCCCATCTTTGCTGTGTATGCGAAAATGGCGATAGTAGAACGACAAAATGTTCTCGACGGCGACGACGGCGTAAACACTCGACAACGAGTAACTCCAGTATCAACAACAACAATGAAGTGACAACAATAGCAGCAGCAGTGGCGGCGACAAAAGCGACCGCCAACGACAGAAAAACAAAATACGAAGATTTTTATTTGACAGTCAACAGAGATTCAACCGATAGGAAGTGCATGCAGTCAAACCCGACTCTACTTAGGGACCTCATCCTCCAAGTTCTTGATGTCATGAAAACCCAGCTTGAGAAGTGAGCGATGACGATGTGTGTGTGCATTTGTGTGTGAGTATGTGTGTAAATATGCTTATGTGTGTGTGGTTTATTTGTAGGTATGTATGTGTGTACGTGTGTGTCTGTGTGTGTATGAGTGTGTGTTTATGCTATGTGTGTGTATTTGTGTGTGAGTATGTGTGTATATATGCTTATGTGTGTGTATTTGTATGTGTGTACGTGCGTGTAGATAATGTTTCATTTCAAATCGTTCATTTTGTTGCCCCTGTCCAGCCACACGACGCCGAATTCCTTGCAGCTGATCCAACAGTTCGCGGACAACGAGACGAGTTGGATGTTGGTGATGGAGGACCTGGTCTACGTCATCCCACCAGAGCAGCCGCTGGCTCCTGTTGCCGTCAGCGTCATCGTCGAAGAGTGCTGCGTCCCTTCCAAGGTATGTGGAAAAAGGAGCAAATTAAAGAATGATGAGACGGAAAGAGAGAGTCTGAAACTGTTTATCTGATTTTGTGATGAAGATGATGATGGTGATGAAGATGGTGATGAAGATGATGATGTTGATGAAGATGATGTTGGTGATGAAGATGGTAATGAAGATGATGATGGTGATGATGATGGTGATGAAGATGATGATGGTGATGAAGATGTTGATCAAGAGGATGATAGTGGTGAAGATGATGATGGTGATGAAGATAATGATGGTGATGAAGATGATGATGGTGATGAAGATGTTGATGAAGAGGATGATGGTGGTGAAGATGATGATGGTGGTGAAGATGATGATGGTGATGAAGATGATGATGGTGATGAAGATGATGATGGTGATGAAGATGATCGTCGTTTTTTTACGGGTTTGCTGTCTGCGTTCAAATCCTCTGTCTGAATTTACACACTCATTACGATACACACACACACACAAACACACATAGCCATACGCCCAGATGCATACTTACGCACACATACATACACACATACAATCTCATACAATCACACATACACACGCGCATACATACATAAATACATACCATCACATACATACATACACATACTCACACATACATATATAAATTACGAGATTCATTGAATGTATA